CTCTCCAAAAGGAAAAGGGTGAGGTGGTTATGGGAGGGTGGCCTGACCCACATCCTGGGGGGTCACATTGTCCCCCATGGCACGGTCCCTTGGATATCCCAAAAACAGAGTGCCCACCACAGCACCAGGCTGGTCCCCTGTGACCTACAGCCCTTTTTTGGGGTGCAGGGTCCCCACACAACACCTCTTCTATTCTCCTGGGTGGGTGGGGAGGGGTCCTGGCCCAGAGCAGAGCTGGAGGCTGGAGGACCCAGCCACAGCAGCAGGGGCTGGAGCCAGCATGAAGCCACCCCTGTAGGGACCAGGACCACTCCAGGCAAGGAGAGAAGGGAGTGCAAACCCCGAGGGGGCTGAGCCAGCACTGGTGGTTTCACTTCTTTCCTCTAAGCAAATCACAAGGGTCCAGCTCGGGTGCCTGCGACACCTTCTGGCCCCAGGGCTCCCAGGTGTGCACCCAAAAATGCCAGGGGAGTGGCTGCCATGCCCCAGCCAGGCCCACCTTCATCCCCAGTCTGGGGAGATGGGTTTGGAAAGGGGAAGCCAGAGTCTGGGTGACCCCAAAACCTCTGCCCACACAGCAGGGACAGGCCCTGAGCTCCCAGGGCAGCACGGACACCGCAGCCACTCCCCCGCATCCCCACCCACACAGGGATGCTCTGACCCCACAGGGTTTGGCAGAGATGACAATGCAGGGTGGGTGGGGCGACCTCACTGAGTCCCCAGGGCTGCTGATTGTCCCCAAACATGCAGCCCCTCCTGACTGACACCTGTCAATCATCCAGTTCCCAGTCCCTCTCTGCTCATCCCAGCTATGGACCAGGGACCCCCAAGAGGTACCAACCTCAAACCCCAACCCCTCTCTACTCGAGGGCAGCCGGACTCACCACTGGGCTTGCACATCCGGATCTGGCTTTGGCACTGGACAACGGGGTGCAGGGTGGGGGCGGCGGCCGCCGGCAGCGGCTCTGAGGTAGTTTTGGTGGCGAGGTCCGGAGAGGCAGGCGGCGAGGAGGAGGAGGAAGAGGAGGAGGAGGAGAACTGCGTCTGGCAGCGGAGCTGTGTCAGGGACTGGGGCATGCCCTGGTAGTGTCTCGTGGCGCTGAGGAGGTCGTTGAGGATCTGCAGGATGGTGCCGATGTCCCGCCGTGGCCGCCCGCTGCTGTCCTGGCAGTTGGGGTGCAAAGTGCCTGGAGGGGGAGGAAGAGGTGGGTGTGAGACAATCAGCTCCCCCAGATCCACAGCCCCATCGCCCCCAACATCCCCCCAGAGCCCCCTGGAAATTCAGCAGCGCGTACCGGAGAAGGTCCCTGAGAAGACCCCAGGCGCGTGGTTGACGAAGCTCTCGATGACCGCCCCGGGCTTGCGGGATCGGGCCGAGGGGGCCGGACTGCTGCCCGGGGAGCTGCTGCTGCGGGAACCACAGTCCACCTGGAGGGGAGAAACGTGGGATCAGCCTCGCACACAATCCTGCTCCTGACCTTCTGCCACCCCGCAAAGAGCCAGGTCAGGAGAGCCCAGGCAGGGAGCAGATGCAGCAATCCCAGTTCTCCTGGCATGCAAGGAACCACCCCGGGGGTCCCGACAGCCCCCCCTGCCCTGCTGTGCAAGGGGGAAAGGGAAGCAACAGCAGCAGCTCCTGCCCACCCATGGGGACAGGCAGGGTAAGAGCTTGGGTTACACCCTGTCCTTGAGCCCCTCCCTGGGACCTGGGGACATTCTGCAGACCAGACTGGCGACAACCCATTTCCACATATGAGGAAATCGAGGGAGGGCCAGGCACGACCATGACTGAGCTGGGAAAGTCACAGCTTCACCCCCCCCGCTTTCCCAAAGGCCCCAGGACACCCCCAGACTCACCTCTGAGCAGGAGGAGACCACGCTGCTGTTCACCGTCTGCGTGCTGGCCCCGTGCGACCGGAACATCCCGGCGGTGACGGGAGCGGCGTGAGGGGCGTTACAGTACACGGGGGGTGCCGGCGTGGCGGGCGTGGGGCTGGGGGCCGGGCTCTGCTGGCACGT